TGGTAGAGAGCATAGTTACCTCGGGTCCGTCTTGCCCAATTCTTTTGCCACGAACATTGGCAAACGGGGGAATAATGTAATGTATTTGGGGCCTAATACCACCCTAGGAGGTGTATGTTATCAAAGAAAAGTAGCAAACGACTCAATCGAAGAATCGATTGAGCTCGAATCAAGAACGAAGCATTCTTAATACGAACTTGGATAAAACGGAACCAAAACATGGATTCCGCACCTAGGGAACGCTCGATTGGATTAAAGGGTAGTTCCTCGACCACGATTGAAGAGGATATTCAATCGATACAAAGCTCACAAGCTTGGAATCCACCAAACTCAAACAAGTCGCAACTTGCACAAAACCAAAGGGTTTGTTTTTCGATTAATCAAAGTCTTACTTTACAACGTGAATTGGAAAGGTATTAAAAGACGATAAACTCTAATACAACCCTAAATGAACAAGGAAACTAATTAGAACAGGAAAAGGCTAAAGAATTCATGTAAAGCAAGGTAACTTGGAGGCCAACAAACTGACATAAAACACAAGTAATTCTGCCTAGGAAAACCGACTTAATAGCATCTTTGAGCCCATCAAAAATGGTCTTCTAGGTTGATTCAAACTCAACCAATTCCTTTCCTTTGTAGAATAAAACTCCCTTTTTCACCTCCAATTTGAAACAGCCTGAGCCATTTTCTAGCAGTTTTCCAATTTTGAGGTAACAAATTTGAGGCCTTGGAAAACAACCTTAATGACTTCTTGTTGAGAAACCAAGCGTACCAATGTGTAGATAATCACTCCATGTTCAATACAAGCCATTAAACGTGATTTTCCATTTAGCCAATTGAGAGAAACGTGCCTCCAAAGTCGGCTACTTGAACACGGAAAATGACTTGGACAATTTTCAGCTTCTTCTTTTCAATTCGACTTGGCCTCTTTGACGATTAATCCTGGATGAAATTTGATCGATTCCAGGATCGTATCAAGGCCCTGCATCACCAGGATTGCACGACATTTGAATGTTGACCTAAGTTGTTGCACGAAGCTGGCGGTGAACTACTAGCTTCCGGGAGGAGACTTTGGATGTCATGCGCCTGCTCCAAGTCTTTGGACCATATCACAATACATTGAATTTATGTTCATTCCGCCAGATCTGCCAACTTAGTCCGCTTCTTAGCCACGCCAGCGCCACCTCGTCATCCTCCTCCACCACCACTATCATCATCATCGGCAGGAGCTGAAAATTGTCCAATCACCTACCCTGGTCTATGTTAGTTAATTGGACAATTTTCAGCTCCTGCCGATGATGATGATAGTGGTGGTTGAGCAGGATGACGAGGTGGCGCTGGCGTGGCTAAGAAGCGGACTAAGGAGGCAGATCTGGTGGAATGAACATAAATTCAATGTATTGTGATATGGTCCAAAGACTTGGAGCAGGCGCATGACATCCAAAGTCTCCTCCCAGAAGCTAGTAGTTCACTGCCCGCTTCGTCCAACAACTTAGGTCAACATTCAAATGTCGTGCAATCCTGGTGATGCAGGGCCCTGATACGATCCTGGAATCGATCAAATTTCATCCAGGATTAATAGTCAAAGAGGCCAAGTCGAATTGAAAAGAAGAAGCAGAAAATTGTCCAAGTCATTTTCCGTGTTCAAGTAGCCGACTTTGGAGGCACGTTTCTCTCAATTCGCTAAATGGAAATTCAAGTTTAATGGCTTGTATTGAACATGGAGGGATTATCTACACACTGGTATGCTTGGTTTCTCAACAAGAAGACATTAAGGTAGTTTTCCAAAGCCTCAAATTTGCTACCTTAAAACTGGAAAACTGCCAGAAAATGGCTCAGGCTGTTTCAAGTTGGAGGTGAAAAAGGGAGTTTTCTTCTACAAAGGAAAGGAATTGGTTGAGTTCGAATCAACCTAGAAAATAATTTTCGAAGGGCTCAAAGATGCTATAAAGCCTGTTTTCCTAGGCAGAATTACTTGTGTTTTAAGTCAGTTTGTTGGCCTCCAAGTTACCTTGTTTTACATAAATTCTTTAGCCTTTTCCTGTTCTAATTAGTTTCCTTGTTCATGTAGGGTTTTATTAGAGTTTATCGTCTTTAAGTACCTTTCCAATTCACATTGTAAAGTAAGACTTTGATTAATCGAAAAACAAACCCTTTGGTTTTGTGCAAGTTGCGACTTGTTTGAGTTTTGTGGATTCCAAGCTTGTGAGGTTTGTATCGATTGAATATCCTCTTCAATCGTGGTAGAGGAGCTACCCTTTAATCCAATCAAGCGTTCCCCAGGTGTGGAATCGACCTTTTGGTTTCGTTTTATCCAACTTCGTATTAAGAATGCTTCGTTCTTGATTCGAGCTCAATCGATTCTTCGATTGAGTCGTTTGTTGCGTTAATTTGATAACATACACCTCCTAGGGTGGTATTAGGCCCCAAATTCATTACATTATTCCCCCGTTTTCCAATGGTCGTGGAGAAAGAATTGGGCAAGACAGACCCAAGGTGACTATGCTCTCTACCATTGACGATAAAGTTGAAGGCGAGAAGAGCTCTTTTAGTGACCATGTTGGCTGACTTGCAACTCGAAGGGAGGGAATGGGAAAGAAGCGCATTAATGACACACTATTGGGGCTGGAGAGGGGTAGGCATGGTATGTGCTGGATCAAAATGGTTTCACCGATGCTTAGAGAGGCAGACCTTCTTGAAAGCAGCTTAGGAGTCCAAGTCTGGGATCAAATCCACTTCTAGCTCCGACTCTGTATCCTCCTCCACTCCCAAACCTTGTGAAATCTCATCGAAACTCATGATCTGGTTTGTGCTACCTAAGAAGAATCTTACTTGGGGGTCACGGCACCCGGAAGGATCCTTTTGTTGATAGAGGGTGTACGTGCTGAAGAATTCGATGCAGAGTTCCGCGATGATGTCATCCTCAATTTCGAGGAGCCACAGCTTCTCTCAAGGCATCCCCACAGTTCAAACATAAAATTGTTGGAAATCGAGCAGGCAATTAGGCCCAATCAAAGCCCTCCTCTAGAACCTCAGGCTACTTTGGAAATCAGGCACCCTCGAGACCTGATAACACCTAAATTATACATATATTCGCCTACACTTTTACATCCTAAAATAACATAAATTGTACCAAGTTCATTCGATTTCCTGATTTTATGCTTGGTTTTGTGTTTGAGTCATGTTTCAGGGTATTCTATCCAATAAGAACGGAATAATGAGTCAATTCAACAAAAAGATGGTTAGGGTTCGAAATCTGGCGTCGGTGGAACTCGATCCCGCGACGTCCCAGGCGAGGGCAAAGAGCCGTACCACTCCGTCCGCTTCCCCTTTTGTTATCAATATACGAGACCCATCGTGTATTATGGTCATGAATCACGGAAAGAGAACCGCTTAATGCAGAGTCAAACTTTGTAGTAGCTGAATGGTCCAAACAAAGAAGCAAGCTGGTTCGGTTCAAATAAAGAAGCAAGCAGCTGGAGGATGGCTGACGTCAAATGAAGAAGCAAGCTGGTCCCAATAATAGAAGCTAGCTAGTCAATTACTTGGGAAGCAGGCTGGTCCATACGTAGGAGCAAGCAGGTACATTATTCGGGAAGCAAGCAACTGCATCGACGTCCTAAGCAAGCAGCTCCTCCTCCCTTGCCTTCGTCACTCGATCATAGAGAAGCTAGTAGCTAAACCCTATAGCCGGTGCAAATCACGTTAAGTGGGAGCAAGCTACCAGGTCAATTTAATGGAAGCAAGCTGGAGAATTAAATGGACAAGCAGCTCAAGCAAGTAGCTGATAATTGCTCTCGTCGTCCATAAATAAAAGCTAGCAGATGTCTAAGCAAGTAGCTGAAACAAGTTGCTGAAATAAAAAATCAACAATGATGCCAAGTTCATACTATAAATAGAGGAGGAAGACACACACACCAGGACACCATTTCTATATTTTGTTCTCCCTTTCATGTATTTGAAGTTAGCCGAAACTCTGTTCATTTTCATTACAAACTCTTGTTACTTCTTTTCATTTCGTTAATCATATCTTGTATTTCATCCATCGTGGTTCTTATGTTTGTGTTCATATTTGGGAATACCGTGGTATATTGCGTTATTGAGATTACCGAAGTGAGCTTCTATTATGTGGGGTTTTGATAATCATTTGTGGTGGTAGATTGGTCGGTTTCCACCGTCTTCGCCCAACGATTATTCCCCCATTGGAAGTTTGCTAGGTGTAATCTATTAACTCAATATACATACCATATTCTCAACCCCTCTGTCTTCGTCGTCGTCATCATCATGGTAATGTTCTCAACCTTCATCTTTCTAAATCTCATCATGTCCTGCATGTTAGATCCCTCGTGAAAAGAGGGAATTGATCGGAGCCACCGGCGATGGGGTCACGTAGTTCCTCTGGATTAGCTTAAAAACCTAATACGAAAATTCATAAATCTGGTTATTGCTTTGGTTTAAGATTTTTGTAAGCCACGGTTTCACTTGATTCTTAAGTCAAAAGGGTGTTAATACATGTGCGAACGGGTTAACACTAAATTGGGAATTTTCACGGTCTAAGATATTAACACTCGTCTATGTTAAATTCAACTTGTCTGTAAAATGCATATTAGGGGGATTCACTTCCGGGACAACGCCTTCTCCACTTGATTTTACTTTGAAAACTACTTTATTGTATTTTTATTATTGCGTGTGTTTTTATTTCTAAACGAAAATCAACTAAAAACGATTGATTAGATAATAGGTAAAAGCTGAGTACTAGTACACGAAGTCTCTGTGGATACGACCTTGCTTCCTGCTATACTACCGTAGAACGATAGGTACCCTTGCCTATTTTTCCTGTGTTAGTTACGGGCGATCAAGTTTTTGGCGCCGTTGCCAGGGACTAAGTTATTAGAAAAAGCTTTGAACTATTAATTTAGTCGCTTTATTTTTCTTGTTACTTGTTATATCACACTTGTTGCTTTCACGGGTTGTTCTTGTTTTTGTGCATGAAATAGTGCATGACCCGAAACCACCAACGTGGACTAGTCGACCTTGATCCCGAGATCGAGAGAACTCTTTGTCAACGAAGGACAGAGCAACAAGTGCAGCCACACACAATGGCGGATGAACATGCTGAAGTGAACAATCGAACAATGTCTGATTATGCCCGTCCTACCTTGGACGGAACTCACTCAAGCATCCGAAGGCCCAATATCGAAGCCAACAACTTCGAAATCAAAACTGGGATGTTACATATGATCCAAAATCGGGTGCAATTCAATGGGATGCCCGACGAAGATCCCAACACTCATATCAAGAAGTTTTTGGAGCTCTGTGACACCATCAAAATCAAAGGTGCATCCGTCAATGCTATTCGCCTTCGACTATTCCCGTTCTCTCTCGACAACAGAGCACGGGAGTGGCTTGATGGTCAACCACGGAATTCCATCACAACATGGGACGGGTTGGCTGAAAAATTCTTAGCCAAATATTTCCCACCAAGCAAGACGGCGAAGCTGAGGAACGACTGACTCACTTCTACTGTCACCCTAGGAATTGGCCAAGTGAAACCACTTCCTAAAGCGTAGTATAGCGGGTTAGGTTTATATGTCAACCCGAGTCCTAGATCTGATGACTACTTAGTGAATTCTTATTATCTAGCAATGAAACTGGAATGCAAGTCTAAACTATCAAACTAACAAAGCAAGTAAACTGTTGTATTCAGGTTAAGAGAGGTCACCCGGATATGGTTCCCCCTAGACTGCAGTTAAGCCGGATTGCAATTACCTAGTTCAGTTTCTATGATAGTTATACTGCGGTAGGTTCTCAAACAGCCTGAAGTCTAGACTAAAGGTCTTCAGACCCTCTCAATCTGAATCTCTAGCGGGCGACTAACCTCCACCGGAGTAAACAGATTGAGGCCCTATGAAAAAAACCTCCACTACCGAAGTGAATTCGGTACAGAATAGTTAGTTGGTTCCTCGACTAAAGTCACCAACTCCCTACCTTCGATCAAGGATGCTCTATCAACCTAGGCAGATATTCTCATTCTAGGTCAAAGCAGAAACAACAGGAATTTGATCACTATTCAAGTCATTCAATCATTCAAACCTCAATCGAATATAATCAAATCATAGAATCAGTACTTGGGTTCATACAATCAAACCTAACATACAAATCTAGGGTTCTCCATACCCAGATGAATGGGAGAACTACTCCATGGAGAAAGAAGCAAAAGCAGAATCAGACGCGGAATTCATACTGTGAAGGATGGATTCCTGCTTCTGGACGTTGATCGGCACTTCTCCAAGCTCAAACTGGCCTCCAATGGTGATGAAGATCAAGCTAGGGTACTTGGAGACTCTTGTTCGTCACTTTCTCTCTCTAGGAATCGTTCTATCTCTCTAAAACTCGAATCCCCTTCTATTTTGGCTGAAATCTGCTTAAAAGGGCATCAGTGGCCAAAGCACGGTCGAGGGCACGGCCGTGCTTTGCCTCAGCCCGCCCGTGCTTTGGCTAGGGTTAATTACACGGCCATTGTGTTGGGAGAAACACGGACGTGCTTTAGGGAGGACACGGCCGTGCTTTGGGTGAACACGGCCGTGCTTTCTGCCCGTGTAATCAGCTCATGTTTGCCAAACTCGAATTAGCTCTCGGCAGTAAAAGCACGGCCACAGAACACGGACGTGTAATGCTTTAGGTGTGCCCGTGTTTTGGCTCCAGCTCGACGAAATGACTTCCGAATGTCCCGAAACTCGTGCTTAGCCTCTCCTTTGACGCCTGGGACCTGAAATATGACAAAATTGCACAACCCGGCGTAAAATAGGCCAAAATACACGACTATGCCTCTCAAACGGATAAGAACTAGGGGCGCAAATATGTGCAATTACATCGTTATCAACGACATTGCCGCCTACCGCCCAGAAGACTCTGAAACTCTCTACGAAACTTGGGAGAGATTCAAGAACACCCTCAAGAGATGCCCTCATCACGGCATTCCCCATTGGCTGCAAATGCAAACTTTCTACAATGGGCTAAATCCAGAGACGAAACAATCAATTGACGCAGCAGGGGGTGGCACCATCAACAACAAAACTCCTCCCCAAGTAGAGCAGCTAATCGAAGACATGGAAATGAACAGCTATGAGTGGTATTCCCCTCGAACCAAGTACAGACCACCGCAGTCCAGAAGTGCCGGACTACACCAAGTTGACCCAGTTACAGCCTTGGCCGCACAAGTTGAAAACCTCAACAAAAAGTTCGACCAACTCACTGTATCCGGCAAGGTGTTCAAGTGCGAATGGTGTGCTGGTGACCACAACACTACCGAGTGCAAGTTGATCTCCTCAACATCTACCACCGAGCATGTTGATTATATCAACAATCCTCAAAGGAGCGGAAATCCATATAGCGGCACATACAATCCAGGATGGCGAAACCATCCAAACTTCTCTTGGTCCAACCAAGGGAATCAACGAGCTTCACCCGGATTTAATCAAGCATCATCAAGATATTCCAATCAGCACCATCAACAACTGCCACCACAAGAAAAGAAATCTAGTCTCGAAGATATGATTGGCAAGTTCATCTCCACCTCCGACTCCAAATTCCAAGCTTTGGACAAATACATTTCTGTCTCCGGGGATGTGCATAATTTGGAAACACAAGTTGGGAAAATAGCCAAGCTACTTTCTGAGAGAAATCAAGGCAGCCTGCCGAGCGACACCGAAATCAATCCAAAGCAGAAGCAACATTTGAAGGCCATCTCACTCCGGAGCGGCAAAAAGTTTCAACCGAGAAACTCCCCTCAAACTGACAAAGATACAAATCTTGAAAAAGATGCGGACACCACTCAGCCCCAAAATCTCGTGGTGCCAGAATACAAGCCGAAAATTCCATTCCCATCACGAATCCACAAGGATCTCCATGACGCACACTTCGGCAAATTCGTGGACCTCCCAAAGCAAATTCATGTTAACATCCCATTTGTGGAGGCCATGTTTCAAATGCCAAAGTATGCTCGCTTCCTGAAAGAAATCCTCACCAACAAGCGGAAATTGGAGGATCTGTCAACAGTGATGCTGAATGAGGAATGTTCGGCCATCCTCCAAAACAAGCTTCCTGAGAAACGAAAAGACCCAGGGAGTTTTACTATACCTTGCTTAATTGGTTCTGTCTATATTGATAAATCTTTAGCTGACCTTGGAGCAAGTATAAATGTTATGCCATATAAAATGTTTAAACGTTTAGGGCTAGGTTAACCTAATCCTACACGAATGAGCATCCAGTTGGCTGATCGTTCCATAGTGCATCCTAGGGGAATTATAGAAGATTTAATTGTTAAAATTGGCTCATTCATATTCCCAGTCGATTTTGTGATCCTAGATATTGATGAGGATGTCGATGTGTCAATAATTCTTGGTAGACCATTTCTGGCAACTACAAAGGCTTTAATTGATTTGAATGATGGAAAATTGATTTTGAGAGTGGGGGAAGAACAAATGACATTCAAAATTTCAGAAAGCATGAAATATGCTCGTGAAAATGATGATGCCAATTTTTGTTCGGATATAATTGATGCTGAGACTGCTAACTTTGTTTCTGAGATTCTTCATTCAGATGCTTTATAGGTTTGCCTTACTCAAGGAAAGGAAACAACGGGATCTGTCCAACAAATTTAGCAAGCTGCACTATTGGAGGAATCCGAAGAATTGGAGCACGAGGAGAAGGTGGTAGAACTCCCTAAATCGGAGAAAATCAAGTCCTCCATCGAAGAACCACCAACTATCGAACTGAAGCAATTACCAAACCACCTTGAGTATGCTTTCCTTCGAGAGAACTCCAAACTCCCCGTCATCATCAACGTGGCCCTAATTGAGGAGCAGAAGGGGAGATTGATCAAACTACTGAAAAGTCATGAACGAGCCTTGGCTTGGAAGATCTCAGACATTCGAGGAATCAATCCCTCATTTTGCACGCCCAAAATTCTGATGGAGGATGACTATAAGCCGGTGGTCCAGCCCCAACGTCGACTCAATCCGAACATGAAGGAAGTAGTGAAAGCTGAGGTGATCAAGTTACTCGATGCTGGAGTAATTTACCCCATCTCCAATAGTTCATAGGTGAGCCCTGTCCAGGTAGTCCCGAAAAAAGGCTGGATGACCGTCATCACCAATGAAAAGAATGAGCTCATCCCCACCAGAACAGTCACCGGTTGGAGAGTCTGCATCGACTATCGTCGCCTGAATGATGCCACTAGAAAAGATCACTTCCCACTCCCATTCATTGATCAAATGCTCGAGCGATTGGCCGGCCACAATTACTATTGCTTCCTCGATGGGATGTCTGGCTACTTTCAGATTCCCATCTCACCAGAAGATCAAGAGAAAACCACATTCACTTGTCTGTACGGCACTTTTGCGTATCGGCGCATTCCTTTCGGATTGTGCAATGCACCAGCAACCTTTCAACGGTGTATGATTGCCATCTTTGACGAGTTGGTGGGAGATATCATGGAAGTCTTCATGGATGACTTCTCAGTATTCGGAGATTCCTTCGACAAATGCCTCCACAACCTCGAAAAAGTTCTAATCCGATGCGAAGAGACGAATCTCGCTCTCAATTGGGAGAAATGCCACTTTATGGTGACCGAGGGCATTGTCCTTGGACACAAAATTTCATCACAAGGCATCGAGGTTGATCGAGCAAAAATTGACGTCATCTCCAATCTTACACCACCAGTCAATGTGAAAGCAATAAGGAGTTTTCTTGGGCATGCCGACTTCTATCGACGCTTAATCAAAGACTTCTCCAAAATTGCTCGACCATTGACAAAGCTTCTCGAGAAGGATGCTCCATTTGACTTTACGGCGGAATGCAACGACGCATTTGCGGCACTAAAGCACAAACTGACCCACGCCCCGATTATGGTGGGTCCCGACTAGAGCCTCCCGTTCGAACTCATGTGTGATGCATCTGACTACGCCGTAGGAGCTGTCCTCGGCCAAAGGTATGACAAACATTTCAAACCAATTTTCTATGCAAGTAAAACCTTAAATGATGCTCAAGAAAATTACACAACCACTGAAAAGGAATTACTAGCTGTGGTGTTTGCATTTGATAAGTTCCGATCATACCTAGTTTTATCACGATGCGTTGTTTTTACTGATCACTCTGCTTTGAAGTATTTAATGAACAATACAGACGCTAAACCTCCTCTGATTCGATGGATTCTTCTTCTCCAAGAATTTGACATCGAAATTCGAGATAAAAAAAGGTGCAGAAAATTTGGCAGCAGATCACCTTTCGCGACTGGAAAATCCAAAAGATGATGTTTCGGATGAAATCAATGAAACATTTCCGGATGAACGACTCTACACAGTAAGAAGAGTTGAACTTGACACCCCGTGGTATGCGGATTTTGCCAATTACTTGGTGGGAAAGACTCTGCCAACTGGGTTCTCGTACCAACAAAAGAAGAAATTCTTTTCTGACCTTAAATCTTATTTCTGGGAAGAGCCATATAATGTTTAAAGTCTGTGCAGATTGTATCATCCGCCGATGCATCCCGCAACCCGAAGCATGGAGCATAATTTCTCATTGCCACCAAGGTCCGACCGGAGGACACCACGGAGCCAACCGCACAACGCGAAAGGTATTGGAATGTGGATTTTATTGGCCAACAATCTTCAAAGATTGTGATGCATATGTACGCACCTGTGATGCGTGTCAACGGTCAGGTAATATTTCCCAACGTGATGAAATGCCACAAACAATGTCCATTGTTTGTGAAATATTTGATATTTGGGGAATTGACTTCATGGGACCTTTCCCGACCTCATTCGGGAACAAATACATACTCGTGGCAGTGGATTATGTATCTAAGTGGGCCGAGGCACAAGCCTTGCCAACTAATGACTCTCGAAGTGTTGGAAAGTTTTTGCAGAAGCTGTTTTCCAGGTTTGGATCACCGCGAGCAATCATCAGCGACCAAAGAACCCATTTTGAAGGTCAATTCGACAAAGTTCTCCAACGATTTGGTGTAACTCACCGGGTCTCCACAGCGTACCATCCTCAAACTAGTGGTCAGGTGGAGGTCACCAACCGTGAGCTCGAAAGGATATTAGAGAAAACAGTCAGTCAATCAAGAAAGGACTGGGCAACAAAGCTCGACACTGCACTATGGGCTTACCATACGGCATACAAAACACCAATCGGCACCTCACCATATCGGTTGGTGTATGGCAAAGCCTGTCACCTCCCCGTCGAGTTGGAACATAAAGCTTACTGGGCGCTCAAATACCTCAACCTCGACGGAGATGATACCAAGGACCATCGTCAGGCCCAAATCAATGAGCTTGACGAAATGCGCCTACAAGCCTATGAAAACGCAAAGTTATACAAGGAACGAACGAAACGACTCCACGATTCCAAGATAAAGCAAGACAAAAACTTCCACGTTGGAGATCAAGTCTTGCTATACAACTCTCGTCTTCGTTTGTTTCCTGGGAAGCTCAAGTCCAGATGGACCGGTCCTTATGTGATCACACAAGTATTTCCCTATGGCGTTGCTGAAATTTCGCATCCCGAGAGGGGAACTTTCAAAGTCAACGGTCATCGTCTGAAACCATACCTCGGTGGCAATTTTGACCCCAATGCCGAGGCACTTCATCTTCAAAAACCTTGACGAAGTACACTACAGTCCAGCTAATACGACGTTAAAGAAGCGCTATTGGGAGGCAACCCAATGTCGGTTTGCATTTTCCTTCCCTTTCTTCTATTTTATTTTTCTTTGAGTTTTTCAATTTCAAGAATAAAAACTGTCATGAAACAACGACCAAAGAACTCGCCAAGTGGAACCACAATCATCGAACATCCTGCCACTATATCCCATGACAAGGAAAATGGTAATAGTTCGAATCCTTACTTCCTATATTTTCGTCCATTGAGGACATTGTCCAATTCAAGTGTGGGGGGGTATATTCGTTCGTTTTCATGTGTTTTGACAAAGAATCATTGTGATTGTTTTCAATAATCTCATCATCCATAAATAAAAAAGTTTGAAAAATCATAAAATTAGGAAAAAAAAATCAAATAAATACTAAAAAGAGTGTTTTGTTTTGAGTCACATCTTTGTCTAAAATTGGTACAAGAATAGTGCGATTTGGATGCATGTCAACCTATAATGACGACTGAGGGATTAAAACAAATGTTTCTCGTGCTACTCATTCTTTGATAGAAAGAACTATCTGAAATCTTGAAAAAGAAATTTATCATCTTTGATTGTTGTTCCATAATGTTTGGGAAGCATAGCATGGGAAACTGAGCATATAGTAAACCACGTGAGACTTGAGCATGATCGTTTCTTTCTTGTGTGTTAGATCCCTCTCAGTGCATGATGATATGCTTGATTTATACATGTTTGAGTCGTGACACCACTAACAAGGATGACGGAGGCAATAGGTTCTACCCCTACAATCAAAATGACTACCCTGAACATCATATCCCTTAGTCAAACCCCGTTGAGACGAGCCTTTTTGTTCGGTGACAACCTGTTTTAAACCAATCCCTGTTCTTCAAGCCTCAATTCATTTTGAACCCTTTTTCAAGGTTCCTTGTGAATGGTTTAAGCGAATGACTTTCTGCTTCATTTATTAAATACAAAAGTTGAGATAGGGAGAAACGATTTCTGTAAGTGCATTTTTCAAAAATGGAATTGTTGGCCACTCGAAAAAAAAATTAACAAAGAAAAAAAAAAGAAAAAAAAAGTGATCAGTTGGCCACCATCTTTCATGCACTTATGATAAATAGGAGTCATTCTTCAAAAGCCACATTGGCTACATTTTAAACTCCTATTAATCCTCAAAATCTTCTCCCTTGTCTATATTTTCATCTTACAAAGATAAGCAGAAAAGTCATGGTTTTCGGAAAAAAAAAAAGAAATTTTGGAACCTTGAACTTACCACCAGATCAAAAGTACTTCCACATGTCCGTACCCCTAACCCCAATTGACACCCGATCAAAGACCTACCTGACAAGTCAGTGGTGACACAACTTTGGAGACTCGAACAATAAGCTCATGGGAGAGAGATGGTAGGGAAAGAGTGATAATTACATGCTACGTGCATTTACCCTGACCCCACTGGTCGAGTGAGAGAGACTTTCCAAGTTCTAAATCCCAAGTAAGATCTATTGGCTCGATCTCTCATGCTATGTTTTGTGAACCTTATGCTTGAACAATTGATTGTCGAATGACTAATAAAGATAGAAGAATGTTCTTATAAATCTGAGTCAGAGTTGCCAATGTCACAGGAGTATTACGATCAAATGTTGTTTGTGGTGGTTGAACGCATCCATAACTCGCTACCTATTGCACCATCTTTAGCAATCATATGAAATTCACATTTTCCCAACTCACGGTTAGAGTTCTTGTGAAATTGGTTTTTATTGAACTTACATTTTTTGTGCTTTGCTTGAGGGCAAGCAAAGGATTAAGTGTGGGGGAATTTGATAACACCTAAATTATACATATATTCGCCTGCACTTTTACATCCTAAAATAACATAAATTGTACCAAGTTCATTAAATTTCCCGATTTTATGCTTGGTTTTGTGTTTGAGTCATGTTTCAGGGAATTCTATCCAATGAGAACGGAATAATGAGTCAATTCAACAAAAAGATGGTTAGGGTTCGAAATCTGGCGTCGGTGGAACTCGAGCCCGCGACGTCCCAGGCGAGGGCAAAGAGCTGTACCACTCCGTCCGCGTCCCCTTTTGTTATCAATATACGAGACTCATCGTGTATTATGGTGATGAATCACGAAAGAGAACCGCAAAATGTAGAGTCAAACTGCCTACTGCTAAACATAAGGAAAAGCTGGTTCATTTTGGGATTCTAGTAGATGAACGGTCCAAATAGAGAAGCAAGCTGGTCCGGTTCAAATAAAGAAGCAAGCAGCTGGAGGATGGCTGACGACGTCGAATGAAGAAGCAAGCTAGTCCCAATAATAAAAGCTAGCTGGTCAATTACTTGGGAAGCAGGCTGGTCCATACGTAGGAGCAAGCAGGTACATTATTCGGGAAGCAAGCAACTGCATCGACGTCCTAAACAAGCAGCTCCTCCTCCCTTGCCTTCGTCACTCGATCATAGAGAAGTTAGTAGCTGAAGCCTATAGCCGGTGCAAATCACGTTAAGTGGGAGCAAGCTACCAGGTCAATTTAATGGAAGCAAGCTGGAGAATTAAAAGGACAAGCAGCTCAAGCAAGTAGCTGATAATTGCCTCGTCGTCCATAAATGAAAGCTAGCAACTGTCTCAGCAAGTAGCTGAAACAAGTTGCTGAAATAAAAAATCAACAATGATGCCAAGTTCATACTATAAATAGAGGAGGAAGACACACACACCAGGACACCATTTCTATATTTTGTTCTCCCTTTCATGTATTTGAAGTTAGCCGAAACTCTGTTCATTTTCATTACAAACTCTTGTTACTTCTTTTCATTTCGTTAATCATATCTCGTATTTCATCCATCGTGGTTCTTATGTTTGTGTTCGTATTTGGGAATGCCGTGGTATATTGCGTTATTGAGATTACCGAAGTGAGCTTCTATTATGTGGGGTTTTGATAATCATTTGTGGTGGTAGATTGGTCGGTTTCCACCGTCTTCGCCCAACGATTATTCCCCCGTCGGAAGTTTGCTAGGTGTAATCTATTAACTCAATATACATACCGTATTCTCAACCCCTCTGTCTTCGTCGTCGTCATCATCATGGTAATGTTCTCAACCTTCATCTTTCTAAATCTCATCATGTCGTGCTAATCTTCTAGTTGTTCCGGATTTGATGAACCCTAATATGTTTTACATTGATTGAGTGGTATCTTTGATATAGACGTGTTGTTCTTGTTCTTACGATCTTTTCTCGACTTATCATGTGCAAGTATCAATAGTATGCGTCTATTGTATATTTTATCTGATACATGTAAATGAGACTGCGAGGTAATTTTGCATGTTAGATCCCTCGTGAAAAGAGGGAATTGATCGGAGCCACCGGCGATGGGGTCACGTAGTTCCTCTGGATTAGCTTAAAAACCTAATACGAAAATTCATAAATCTGGTTATTGCTTTGGTTTAAGATTTTTGTAAGCCACGGTTTCACTTGATTCTTAAGTCGAAAGGGTGTTAATACATGTGCGAACGGGTTAACACTAAATTGGGAATTTTCACAGTCTAAGATATTAATACTCGTCTATTTTAAATTCAACTTGTCTGTAAAATGCATATTAGGGGGATTCACTTCCGGGACAACGCCTTCTCCACTTGATTTTACTTTGAAAACTACTTTATTGTATTTTTATTATTGCGTGTGTTTTTATTTCTAGACGAAAATCAACTAAAAACGATTGATTAGATAATAGGTAAAAGCTGAGTACTAGTACACGAAGTCTCTGTGGATACGACCTTGCTTCCTGCTATACTACCGTAGAACAATAGGTACCCTTGCCTATTTTTCCTGTGTTAGTTACGGGCGATCAAGACCACCGCAAGGTATGGGTGATTTGGATCAACCATCCTGCAAAAAAAAAAAAACCACAAGCCATATGATGACTCGGTATTTGCACATGTTTTCCCCTTTGTTTCTTGATTGTTTGAGCTTGAATTATCGTGTCTTTGGCCTATTTTACGCTAGGTTGTGTTCTTTTGTCACATTTCAGGTCCTAGCACATAAAGTGAAGCATAGGCGCAAGTTTCAAGTCAATCAGAGATCAATCGACGATTCGGGAGAAGAAACTCGGGTATGACCTGAAGAAGAATGGATTTCTACCTCACTTTATGGACAAAGAATCATGAAAACTTGTCATGAAAAGAAAGAGGACGAGACTACGAGCGTCTGGGATCAAACGGTGACTGATTCGGAGTCCGGACGAGGGAGAAACGAAGCATTAAACAGAGACTGAGCAAGCCACACGGGCACAACCCACACGGCCGTGTGATCTGGCCATGTGGCCGTGTAGAAATCACCGAGCCTTCACACGGGCAGCTGGGAAAGCCACACGGCCGTGTGGCCTGGCCGTGTGAGTCGGGAATTGCTGTTTAAAACCCGATTTTCAGCAAAAGGAAAGAGGGAGAGCTGGGTTTTGGATCCCAAACACCCAAGGGACGAACCCTAGAGAGAGAGAGCGACTTGGAAACATTCTTGGAGCTATTTTGGAGGATTTCTTCGCCATTGGAGCTCGGGAATCAAGCTTGGAGATGGAGATTGAAGATCTATATCAGATTTCTGCAGTCTCTCTCTTCTCTATGGAGTAACTTCCCTTCACTTAGGTTTTGAGGAACCCTAGTTCCATGAGTTAGGATCTTTCTTGTATGAAGTTTTGGATGCTTTATTGTTTGATTATAATCGATTGAGGCATGATTTATTGAGTCAATTGAATCTTGATCAAATTCTATTGATTTCTTCTTTAACCTATGATAGATAGAATCTGATTAGGTTAAGAGAGCTTCCTTGATTGATAGTGTTGAATTGGTTGTGCGAGAGTCAATCAATTCACTGCTTTGTATTGGAATTCATTCCAGTAGTGGAGTTCTGTGTTCATAGCCTCAGCTTTCTATCCTGGTGAAGACTAGTCGTCTGCCGGGTAGTTGGACTGAGAGGGCTTGGTCAGCTTAAGAGATTCCAAGCTAATTTAG